TTCCATTTGGAACAATTTTTAGACGTATATGATTGAATTTATTTTAGGGCAAATTCAATACAGACAAAAGATGGCTGAATACTAGTCATTTTAGATTTTTCATTTGCTTAGAAAAATGTTATATTTACACATTTGCTATCACATAGGATTGTATGTTTTCAATCTGTTTATTACAATTGCATAGTGAAGCTGCAAGCAGCATTACATGGGACCAACCCAAGGGCCATGTTTGTGCAGGTGTAGTTGAATTGGTTAAAATGGAAACTGTCATACAGATTTCACAAGGTCGATTCTCATACGTATATATAGTGCACAATAAAAAGACAGTGAAGAAGACAGTCAATAATGCATATTCTGTATGAAGATATAAATTACACAATTTACTACAATATGAACATCTTTAGTCAGCATTGTATTAAAATAGTTATAATCATAGTGACCACAAGAGATGCGTTTAAAATGTTGACAAGGATTAAAATGTTTGTTTTGTTATTTAATTCATGTTTTTAATAGGGCACCAGTGGGATTTCAGATAGTTTTAATATACTTGATATTGAAGGCACACGTACGTAGTACTGTGGATAACAGGCTTTTTTCTTTCTTGTTCTTTGATTATACAACTTAATATTATTTTCACTAGTAGAAACTAATTATTTTGACACCATATGATCAACAAGTATCCAAGAGCCTCCGTGGCAGCAGAAAATAAAAGGTTTATATTTTTAATATTTAAGGCACAGCATAGTTTGCACGAAGATTGCAAGACGAGATGATTCAGCACATAAACAATAAGTTTATTGTACAATAAATCACCAACAAAATCATGACATAATACTTTTAAACCAATATGGCCCACTCAAGCCATCGAAATTTGAAAATCAGATGCACCTAATCTGCATAAAATAAATCCCATTCAGAAATTAAAGCTAAAACAAACATTCCAAGCCCTATGAGGTAATGCAATAGAGCTGAATATACTGTTCTCCATTTATTTTCCAATCACTGGCATGATATAACCATTAACTTTGAACATTGCACTACTATGATTTACTTTTGTTACTTTCATACACACATTTACTAAGATATTTTAGAGGGTACCTGCATGGCAATGACAAGTGTTCTGACTGAAAGATTCAAAAACAAAATTATCTGGCTTACAGTTTTGATCTGAAATCTTGTGATCTGTGCCGGACACTAAGAACCTGTAATAAAAATATCGCAAAGGTCAGTCGGTGTTTACCACAGAATGTAAATTGATACACAAGGGCAGTGCTCTTAAAATTCAATTGTGACAAAGATATTAATACCAGTATACGTTTAATGGTTGTATAAAGCAGAGTAATTTATAATAATCATCTTACCATTTTTTGGATGTGGGTCAAAACAGATTAAATCTCACAGGAGGCCGCCTATTCCTCAGGGGGTATCGTCTCCCACCAAGCTGTGAACAAGAAACTGGTCTATTAAAATTGTAGTTATACAATGTACTACGATATTAGTGAGTGTACAGGAACCAATATTGTTGATTCAAGTGGCTTTCACCTCAGTGAAGCAAACTGATTATTGAAATAATTGTATTGACAGTCACAAAATTAAATAGCAATACAGAGGAGTTAGTGTTGTAAATAACTAAACCGTTCTGGCAACAAATTAAACAACTTTACAGAATGACCCATCCACACTCACTTGCACATTGTATCATCTTAAAGATAACATATTGCCTACATCATTGAATTGTTAAAATGGAAATGCAATTGATATCATAGCTAGACTCGTAAATATCATAAAGATATGCCTAAAAATAGTAACAATTACACCATGACATTTCTGTCAACAAACATCCAACTACATTGTTCAATGTAGAAAACAGAATAATGTCTTACATAATACATCACATGTGCATGAACTATAAAATAAATACATGAATCTTACATTCTGAGCGGCCTCCTGTGGGTCATCACGACCAGCGGGTGCTCTCGGCCTTGTTCTTCTGGGCAACTGGACACGCGGACACCCACTGGCCGTGTGATGATGATTGAATCTTCCTGTCCTGTGACCTAAAATTTGAAATATCAGTCAAGTCAGATTGCATCTGATCAGATTAAAATTTAAAACATTTTTAGAAGTATTTTTTGATTCAAACTAGGTTATTTTAGGAATGTGTGATAATAATTTGTGTTAAATGCGGTTATTGCTTGAGTGAGATTTGTTAGTTTTACACCTTTCTCTCACATATCGAGCATACATGAAAGAATTGACGCGTAGCTAGGTATAATTATCTGCCACATGTATTGATTAGTTGTTAAATTAACTATTTCAGACAGTGTCAAAAGCAATTAACATTGACCTTTAGTATTGAATATATAATTGTGTTAAATGTAATGCGCTGATAATTAACATTCTTACCTGTGCCGTCACAACCAGGTGTTGGACAATTAGCTTTTTGAAAGAAAGATTAAATAGATTTGTGAGTGAGGCACACATTACTTGCATTATATGCGTCATATCTTAGCCAAGTAATTGTATATTGTTTAATTCTTAATTTACTTTTTGTAAGAAGGCACAATACATAGTAAAATTGGACATGCTTCCTGTCCCATTTTCCAGTTTTACAATGTGAAAATTGCTCATCTCCATCATGCAATAGTAAACAAACTGAAACCAGTCGGTCATTTTGAATCAATTTGATATGATGCATAATCATGGTTCTGGAAAGCCAGAGATTATGGCATATTAAAATCAAGAAGCAAATGCATAATGCATTAGCATAGTTTGAACATAACTGGAGATGCAGGCGCAAGCACAGAATGATTGACCCTATACACACATGTTTTTAGAATTCTTACAAGTCTAAGACAAGTCATTTTCAGAAGTGACAAATTATTTATAGAAATTTGTGTATGGAAACATTACCTGTTCGTTGGTCGGCTGGTGCATTCTGCAAGACATGTATGAAAAAAATTCATTAACCCACATGAATTTAAGGTGATGATATGAACAATTAAAAAA